GAGACATATATCATATTGAATGATCTAGTATTTGGTACTGAGTATAACATCAGTGTAGCTGCTGTCAATTCTGTTGGAAGAGGTCCCTTCATTGATCCTATTGAAGTAGAAATTGGAATAGGTATGTAATTATTATACTATATCAGTTCTGTGAGAACATGTCTTTATTTAGTACCTGGTCCAGTTGGTTCAGTATCCAGTATCATGGACACTACATGGGCTGTTATTTCATGGAGTGTACCTAGTTATATTCCATCAGACTATCCCATTATCACATATGAGATAGGATATCATATCTTACAGTCTGGTAACTGTTTGATGGTTAATAATGATGGCTTTAATACTGAAATATTACAGCTACGTAATTCAACTAATACATTTATTGTCAACACTGGTCTTAATGATATGTCTTGTTACATTTTTGGCGTACGTGCATACACTGATAATGGAAATGGTGAATGGACAGTTGTTTCTAATGAGACACTAAAACTAAAATTATCATCTAACTGTGCTACATCAGACAGTGTCATTGCTCTTAGTGTGTTAGTGGGTATATTGTGTGGTCTACTAACTGTTAATGTTGTTGTTCATATCTACTGCTTTTTAAGGTATAGTTTACATTCTTTTATATTCAATTGTTATTGTTATTTTTATAGAAAGAAAAGTCCGTCTACTTTTAATAAGCAAACAAAGTTAGTTTATTCTATTACATTAAGCTATTCACTACTTTAATAGAGCTGATGATGATATTGCAATGCAAGTATGTGAACCATATGAAATTCACAAGACTAAACAAAGTAAAGAGAATGAAGGAGCCTATGATGAATGTCAAACAACACTTGATGATGTTTATGCTGTCGAAATTGCTGTTGGGGTGACTTAATTTTATGTTTTACATAGTTACATTATTTTTGTGGATTTATTTAAATTGTCTCTGTGTGTAGTCATACAGTATTAAGGAGTATACAAGTTAGAAGCATAAGAATTCAATGGTCTCACTTTATAATGACAACTCCATAGCCATTTTTCATTAACTTTCTCTTGGTGGGAATGTAAGTTGCCACTTAGAGACTGACTCTGCTTCTATCTATTAAATCTAATACAAATATTACAAATTTACAGATTGTATGATAAACATGATATAGTTTTGAAATATTACTTATCATAGCTTGTTTTAATGGAAAGTAAACGAACTTCAATATAGAGTAATGTTGTTTTCAAAAGCAGTGGTAGAGAACAGCTAGATTTAATAGTCTCGGTAATTTTATTTACCACTGTTAAAATGGTATTTTCAGTATCAGGAGTGATTGTAGTCTTCTTGTTGAGTGTCAGTGAAGTTATTAGTCAATGTCCACCTTCCTCAGGTAAGACACTGAATGTGTATAATAACAACTGTATAGGTTTTTATAGGTATCTACCTGAGGCGGGATGGACACTGTTATCCTAATGGATCATATTTTTGGGATAGTAGTGTCAATGCAGTTACTGAAGCTATATCATGTGTGTTACCTGATGCTAGTCTAACTACTGGTCAGTGGGTTAAATTTGCTGATCCTGATTATCCTGTTGACTGTAACAGTAATAGTGGCAGTGATCCTTTTCGTTGTACTAATGTCACTTCACCTGCTGCTCTCAATCTTTATCTTGCTCAGGGACTACCAGCAGCTCAAGAAGGCTGGTACAAGTGTTGTCTACCCACTGATTGTTCAAATCCTAACACTAACATCATCTTTGCTAATATATTCAGTAAGAGAAGACCATAATCACTTACTGAAGTAATAATTTTTCATTTCATTTGTAGGATTTTCAGAGATAGAATCATTTACTGTTGCTGATCTTCCTTCTGATATGACAGCATATCCTCAGAAATACAAACTGAATTGTACTAAAATTGGACATGATAGGTATGGTATTAGTATGAGCATTGGTAGTACTGCACTGGCTAGTTACACTAACTGTGACGATCAAAATAGTAATTGTCCTGGTACTGTGTTAGTTAGTAGTACCAACACAGTGACATATACTGTTGATATTACATGGGATGGAATGATTGTCAGTAGTGGATCAATCAGTCAATCAACCACTGGAGATCAAAATTATCAGTGTGTACTAGATAACCCTAGTGGTGGTGATGATAGAACACGTACTTTAAGCATAAAAGGTAATAATAAGTATTATTAAGTACATATGTCTCCCTATTAGTACCAGCAACTGCTCCCTCTTCTCTTACTGAGGTCAGCAAGACAGCTACCACCATCACTGTCAGTTGGACTGCACTTGATTCATCTGATGCTGATGGATATGTAGTCAATGTCACTAGTGACACAGACACTGTGCAGACAGTACAGGTGGAAGGAAGTAGTAATACTATAATCACACTGAATGGACTGAATATAGAGGCAACTTATGTCATCACAGTCAGAGCCTATCAACAATTACTGGGACCTGCTAGTACAATCAGTGTACAGACCTTACCAGGTATTGCTACTGCATGCACCTTAATTAAATGTACTTGTAACATTGTTGATGTATTTCTAGTTATTAATTCAATCAATTTGACACTAGTCTCATCCATTACACAACTCAATAACACTCAATATCGTATTGATTGTGTCACAACTACTGATATAAATTCTTTAACTGATGTTTACTGGTTAGTGAATGGAGTGATGAAGAGTAACTCAATGTATACATCAATTGATGTCCTGACATACAACAACACACTACTGGTATATCCTGATCCACTGGGAGTATCAGTTAATGTTACCTGTATAGCAATGATTGGAGGAGTCAACTACAGTCAATCTGTGATATTACATGGTATGATTATACTTTTATCAATAGTAGATACCTTTGTCTCACTTCTAGCTCTTAGTGGTCCTCCAAATAATGTGAGAGGGTTTATATTAAATGCTACTAGTATCAAAGTGAACTGGACCACTTCATCAGAGACTAATGGATATGTGATTGAGTATACTACTGGAGGTGTAACCAGGAATGTAGTATCTACCAGTGAAGATGAAATTATACTATCAAATCTCTTACCAATGAGTACCTATACCATCAGTGTGTACTCATATATAGATCTTCCTTCAGTTAATAGTACAGTAACAGTGTTAAGATTTGATGGTAAGTTATCATCATTGAGAAAGTGTAAATGATATCTGTTCTAGTTCCTACTCCTGTAACTAGTCTCTCGGTCTCTAATGCTTCAACCATTAGTATTACAGTGAACTGGACTATTCCCAGTAGTGACAACTATGTAACATACTACACCATCTCCTATACTCCATCTTGTCCCCAGTTATCATCAGTGATTGAGACAGTCTCTGTTGGTCCTTATCAGTCCACTACAACGTACAGTTATACATTAATAGGTCTGTACAGTGGTATGAACTATACCATCACAGTGAGAGCTGGTAATGTACTAGGAGGATCTAATCCGTCTTCAATTGGTCATGATACAGTATCATCAAGTGGTATGCATCCTATACATGTATATATTTAAATCTTATATATTTTCTGCATAGCTCCTATTGATGTACCTGATTATTTGGCTTTAGTACCAATTAATAATCTCACTTGGAATGAGGTAAATTGTTCTGAGCGTAATGGTCTAATCACAGGCTATACAGTGATTATCAGTAACAGTAGTATCACATACAACCTCACTAGTACTGAGACATATATCATATTGAATGATCTAGTATTTGGTACTGAGTATAACATCAGTGTCGCTGCTGTCAATTCTGTTGGAAGAGGTCCCTTCAGTGATCCTATTGAAGTAGAAATTGGAATAGGTATGTAATTATTATACTATATCAGTTCTGTGAGAACATGTCTTTATTTAGTACCTGGTCCAGTTGGTTCAGTATCCAGTATCATGGACACTACATGGGCTGTTATCTCATGGAGTGTACCTAGTTATATTCCATCAGACTATCCCATTATCACATATGAGATAGGATATCATATCTTACAGTCTGGTAACTGTTTGATGGTTAATAATGATGGCTTTAATACTGAAATATTACAGCTACGTAATTCAACTAATACATTTATTGTCAACACTGGTCTTAATGATATGTCTTGTTACATTTTTGGCGTACGTGCATACACTGATAATGGAAATGGTGAATGGACAGTTCCCATATAGAAAAAACAAGGTTGCAGCATGGTTGTGGCAACCTTGTAACAAGCTAAGTGGTCACAAGGTGGTCACTACCTGGCCACAAGGCCCACCACCTTGTAAAAACCCTGGAATTGACACGTTTTCCACCTTGTGACAACCACGTGACAACCTTGTCATAATGTACAAAAAATTCAATAGCTATAACCTGGAAGCCTATCAGTTAACACATAATTAATATTGTCATCCTAATCCTATATA